TCGATTGATCTTTTAATTATATTCGAATGAGAACAATGTTTGAAGAGAGCTCATTGACAAGAGCTCATTGTTTAACTCTTATTATATGAACGTAGGATTTAAAACACCACCATCACCACTACCTCTATTACCACCACCACCGTGTGGCACATATATACCTGGTACCCCCTTGTACCAATATTTATGTGTTCAAATAAATAAATAATCATAAACTACCACCACCACCAGCAACAACAAAAGACAATAATCTTTTAGAAAGAATTTTAATCGTCAAGAAAAAAAGGTTTAAAACTAATAAACAACTTGTGAAGAGGAAATCATAATCATTTAGACAAGATTGATTCTAATGTTCTTTATGAAACAACCAAAGGTAAGAATAAAACACAACAAATAAAATAAAATGTACAGTTATAAAGTTAAATTAGAAGCATTTACGATGTACAATACCTGGACCAGATTCATCATATTCTTGTTTTGTGATCCACATTTGATTAAATGTTGATAATGAAGCTAATATAGACCCACCAATCCATACAGAATATTTACGTTCAGGTGGTGCTACAATTTTAATTTTCATTGTTGTTGGAGCTAAATTACAAATTTCTTTTTGCATACGATCTGAAATACCAGGAAACATAGTAGAACCACCAGATAGAACAATATTTGAATAAAGATCTTTACGAATATCAACATCACATTTCATAATTGAACTATAAGTTGTTTCATGTATACCGGAACATTCCATACCTAAGAAACTTGGTTGTAACATTGCTTCAGGACATCGAAAACGTTCATTACCAATTGTAATCACTTGACCATCAGGTAATTCATAGCTTTTTTCAAGTGATGAACTATGTGAAGCAGTACCCATTTCTTGATCGAAGTCCAAAGCAACATAACACAGTTTTTCTTTGATATCACGAACAATTTCACGTTCAGCAGTAGTAGTAAAAGAATGACCACGTTCAGTTAATATTTTCATAAGATAATCAGTTAAATCACGACCAGCCAAATCAAGACGAAGTATTGCATGTGGTAGTGCATAACCTTCATAAATAGGAACAGTATGACTTACACCATCACCTGAATCCAATACTATACCCGTAGTACGACCAGATGCATACAAAGATAAAACTGCCTGGATAGCAACATACATGGCTGGACTGTTGAATGTTTCAAACATAATCTGTGTCATTTTTTCACGATTTGCCTTAGGATTCATTGGTGCTTCAGTAAGTAGGACAGGATGTTCTTCTGGGGCTACACGTAATTCATTATAAAATGTATGATGCCATATTTTCTCCATATCGTCCCAATTTGAAACAATTCCATGTTCAATAGGATATTTCAAAGTTAGAATACCTCTTTTTGATTGTGCTTCATCACCAACATAACTATCTTTTTGTCCCATACCAACCATAACACCTTGATGTCTTGGGCGACCAACAATTGATGGGAATACAGCTCTTGGTGCATCATCACCAGCGAATCCAGCTTTACACATACCGGATCCATTATCAATTACAAGTGCACTTATTTCATCTTCTGACATTTTGTAAAAATCAAGTGAATTGAGTAAAAAAACGTCAAAAGATTAATTGTTGTTTTTATTAAACTGGAGAATGTTCTGATAAGTGCTAGAATTACTAATTGCACCATACTGTAGTTTATATTTATTGTCTCACTTAACAACAACCATATATGGCTATCGATTTGATGATGTTTAGTAAACCAATAATAAATACAGGCGAATTCTAGTTCTAACAAAAATGTCGAATGCCACATTTATTTATGATAAAACATTATTAAATTCTATTATTTTAGTTACTTTGCTAAAGTATTAGATAGTCATTACTACTAAATATGTGCTCATGTATATCTCTATGTGAATGTTTGTAATACACATTCTATCTAACTTAAGTAATAAGGCAACTATTGTAATAAAGAAAGAAAAAAAAGAAAGAAAGCTGGTTGTGTGCACTTATGTGTACATGTCAATGCTGTTTGTATGAGATTCTACATAATCATTATAATACTGAAGAAAATAAGATAATTGTGATGTTTATTGTTGTTTTCTATTCAACTTTCTCTGTATTCAGAGAAGACGGTTAACAGTTACCAAGATATCAATGTAATAAGGTAACGGACGTCTTTTAAAAAAAAACTGATTGAACTAACCAGTACCAACATACAATTATGATATATTGCTCATTATGTAGAATAATAATAGAACAGTAAATAATTTCGGCGAGACTATCATTTATGGATGAATCAAACAGATTTATGGTAACAGATCTTGGATTTCCACGTGAAATTCTTTATCCTTTTTGCTAAATAGCATCTTGGTATTTTAGCTAATGTCAGTTTGTGATGAAAACTATAAATCTAATCCCTATCCCTAACTGTCAACTGTAAATCACAATCCTTATCCTTCATTCAGGTTTAAAACTCTCATTTAGCCTCAGTGGACATTCTCAAGGCCACTTTAGCGTTGCTCAAAGGTCGTCCATAAATGATAGTAGATATGCTTGAATGCTTTAACGAGTTCACCTTACTCGGTAAACGGAACGAAGGTCAAAGATATAGTGACACGATAGGCTATTCTAATCTGTTGTCCCCGGCCCTGACAGCTAGATCAAGAAATCTTGATCAGGCGTAGAGAATGTATTCTATACCAAAGTATTCCAATCATAATGAATTAGCATCCAGAGGATATATTACATGGAACACTGGTTTAATGTGATGGTAGGAAGAACAGTACACAGCTATCTTTGAAATTGAGCATAATAATCGTTATTCATTGATTATATGAGCTGAAGAAAGATTATTTCTTTAAGGCAATTTGTTTATAAATATCGATCACCCTAAAGCCGCTTGGCTTATCAATTAATCAGATTAGGAGAAAATCCGCCAACAGTAGATCATAACTCCTGTACTCTGAAAAAAAAAGCAGTCACATAAATAGGAACAAACATTTGTTAAATTCACTTGGTGTTGTTTTACTTGTATCTTCCAATTGTTATTTAAGACTGCAATTGATTAGTCTCGTGTTGGCATATGTGTTACCTGTAAGGACTGCTTCGATATTGCCCCAATTCACAAGCTTTTTAAGCAAAAATGGATAGTGGCTGGCAGTGGAATTCAGGATTCCTATTTCGTCCTATTTGGGACTCGTCAGCTGGACAGTCCCTAGACTTTACATCGAGAAACTCAACTGTCAGTATAATCATATGGTTATAACGTTTATACCATATGAAACAGATAAAATACTATTTAGGAGTGGTTACAACTAGTTGCTTAAGAAAAATGATCTAAATATTTTGAGTAAGTTTTCATACTACTAGATTATGACAAGTAGTACAAGATCCACAAAATAATTATCAGATTAACACCAATACTCCGCAGGCTGTATTAAGATATAGGTGGTCAATCGTCTTTTATGAAAACTATTAATCGATAAGCACCGAGTGAGTGATACATTAGTATCAACCACTAACAATATTAATAAATATTTACTTGACTCCAAAAATAATGATGTCTAGAAGAATTATAAACAGGTTTATAGCAATCAATGTAAGTTATTCTGTAGATACCAACTCTACCAAAATCATGAGAATTTCATGGGGTTACTCATATTAATGTTAAAAATCAATGATCGAAATGACAGTAAGTGTTCAGAAGTAATCTCTTTCAGTGTTTCTCTAAATCTCTGGTCGGTTATCATCAAAGTTCAGCGGTGAAGCGTAGTCTAGCGGTTAGGATTCCTGGCTTTCATCCAGGCGGCCCGTCTTCGATTCCCAATGCGGAAAAAAGGAAAAAACCCGAATGCCCTGGTATGGCCGAGGGTAAGGAGAGTCATCTCTCTCTCGAAATGCTCCCACATGGCCAATCGTATATAGCCACTCCCATGTAAGTCCTGCTCACTACAATCTCGCGGCATTACTGTTGTTTACGAAATTGGGAGGACGGAAAGAGAATGTTCGATGCTACAACCGGGTTGGTGGATACGGAGGATCCAAGCACAGGAGTTAGAAAACCCTCATTCCAAACCAATGGTGTATGAACCTATTGTTGGTCACCGGCTATCATGGGACTGTATTTCCTTATGTTGCTCCACTACCTTGTGGATCAGACCACTAGGTCGAAGGCTCCATGTGTAGTCCTCTAAGAAAACAACCTGTTTCGGTCCGGGCGCCCGGGCAGTATCACCGCCCACACACAAATCAAGTGACTTGTGCGGCACATATGTAATCGGTGCCCCTTTGTATCAATATTTACGTGTTCAACTAAATTAAATTTATGATATCTTGCCAATAATATGGATGACTTAGTTGGCAAAAGACAAATGAACTTTTTAAATCCATGTGGAGATTGTGTACTCACCAAAACAAGCCAGTCAGACTCTTATAATAGGTGAGTCAACTTCACTTACTATACCCAAACTAGGGCTTTGGGCAGACAAGTCCAGAAACAATACTTTATATTTAGAAGGAAAAAGACGCATTCTAAACAAGTCAACATGATTACTCAGGGGATCCAGTAGACTTTGCATTTTATCAGTGATTACAAAGTGCGATCTGTGTAGTATAACTAAGATAGTAAGTCTCTATTCAGAAGAAACACGTAAGAGGAAAAAAGAATTCAACCACGGGATCCAACTTTGATGGAATTTTTTCAAAATAAATAAAGTAAGGAGTTTGATTAAGATCATTTAAAGTTATAAACTATGATGATAGTTCACTGTAATCACTGACACAACCGATACGTTTCGATTAAATATGCTTTACAAGATAAGCTTTTCAATTGTAAAGCTTATGATACAATGTATCCATCACTTTAGCTGAGTATAACTTCAACATGGTGAAATACGATCATAACTGAGCACTAATAAAGATTACTCATATCGTACCTTCTCTATTACTGATAAAAATGTCCTCATAGTGTTGATTTCCTCTTTTACAAACTTTTGAGAACTATAATAACGTAATTCGAATTTCTTCCATTTCTGTGACACTATATTGGTTTATTTTTATCAGTTATACCACTACAATGTTACTATGATAACTAAAATGTGGTTTTCCATAAATCTATATATAACCAATACAATATCATGAATAATAATTGACCCAATTCGATGAGTAGAAAGTGTGAATGAAGACAATGTGTACATGCATACACACATACATACAAAATATACACTTTTGACAATAACTATGATAATGATCCGTTTGGATGCCAAAACATGCGATGCACATCAATAATGAATTTATTCAACAAGAAATTACAATGACAATAAATAAAAAGTTTTCTTTCTTTCTTTTTTTTAAAAAAAAAGGAGAAGCGAAATGAATAGCACACAACTTAATCAAAGATCAAGAAACAACATGAATAAATAAAAAAAAATTTGGTTACATTAAATAGATAAGAATCATCAAATAGTGTGCACCTTACACATACATACAAATAGTACAGGCATCATAATCACTTTGTGTGTTTTTATTTGATGACAGTAGCATAGGTAGTAGTAGTAATAGTAGTAGTAGTAGTGTGTAGGATCTGTGACAGTAACAACAATAATGATCAATACTCAATCAATCTTGACAAATAATTGTTAAACTCTTGTTCGACTAATTTTTTCTTTCAGTGTTGAATTGTTTGCATAGATATATGCCAGTTCTACGGGGAAAAAAGAGAGACGACATTGTACTTATGTTGATAAACAAATGTTGTATCATCTATTCTCTGATTAAAAAAAAATCAATCACAAGTTTAAAAAGAAAGTTACAACAAAGAAAAGAAGAACGAAAGAAAATATGTAACCGATTTTAGGTTTACACATAGATAGTAATAAAGATATGGACAATGGTGTATAAAAGATCACAATCTTTACAACAATTTAGGCATGTCAGAGTCGTACATCATCATCATCACGATCATCATCAATAACATCTCAAATCACAGAACACGAGTTGAAAAATAAAAAGTTACATAAAAAATAACAAAACTTAAGTAGTAAATGAATGACTTTTTAGAAAAAAAAATGTTTGTGAAAATCTAGTTCATTTGTCATTGATAGAGAATTCAATGGATGTGTGTGTGTGTGTATGTGTGTTTGCGGATGGATGAATTCATTCAACAGAAGAACATAGCATTCTATTGTAGTTTTGAATAAATCGATGGTCTAAATTTATAATGAATAAATTTCAATATTAATATTGGTATACAACTGACACCAGTGATAGCTAATACTTTCCAAACAAATCCAATTGTTCTTAGAAATACTGAATCTGTAATCAATGAATAAAACAAATAAAAATTGAAAGGATTACAAATGGTTACAGTGATTGGAATAATCAAAATGAAACGGAATGTGTATAATCAGTAGGATGATCATGATGATGATGATGAGGAGGAGGAGGAGGAGGAGGAGGATTTCAATCTGAACAAATCGATAATGGAATAGAAAAGAATGTTATGTTGTATTCAACCGCTGCTCTTTGGAATTTTTAATTCAATGCAGTTTTACTCTAATATGGTATCCATTTGAAATAAACGTTCACTTACAACACAATAGACAAATAGTTTAAATTACTAATTAATTGAAGGTTATTTGTATGAGAGCTAACGTGATACTATTTGACTGCTTAGAATCAAATTATTCATACAGATTGATTGAAAGTTAAATGTTTTAAACGCTATCTTATTGCTACAAACAATCATCTTGTAATCGAGCATATAATTCCGTTAGAATGAATACATACTTCAAAGGAACTCAGTGATTCCATCTGTGACTGTGGTACTGAAGGACAATATCGACTTCGAATCAATATTACTGAGATACTGTGTTGATGGTTTTCATTACAGGAAAAAACACGATAAAAGTTTGTATGGTGGATGTCATTTTAAATTAGTTATACGAAGAACTCGTATGGACTGAAATTCAGATGTATGATCGAAAGTCACTTGCTTGACATAGTAGATCACTTACTCCACTACATCCGTATTACCCTGCGTCACAGTCCTGTCTCACAACATCGATTGTATAAACTAACCTTAAAAAGGTATAAGAAGTGTAGAGACTGTGTTCACAAGAGATCACTCATTGATAAAGTTGTTTGACTTGCAAACACTACGTAAGAGGTTCGAACTCAGTAACCGGATAGCATCATTAGCTCTCAAATTTAGACTGTATCTTAAAGTAAATCACATGAATTAGAATCTCGTATCAGTTGAGGGAACACAAATTTTAACTAGAGAGTTACAAAATGTAAATACGAATCCTCCACGAAGATTTGAACAATCATTTATTAGTGCATTACTTAAAATACTGCCTTTGGTTTAGTATAATAAATTGTGTTTAGAGTAAGCAAGGGTAATTTTATTTGTTTAATAAACCCATAAAGTCAACGGTTTTTAGTCATTTATGTATACATGTCTACTGAAATTCACGGAATACATGGATAAGAACTGAAAACTTTGCTGAGTACAACAAACGAATTATTTTGTAGGATTAAATATCAAAATCTGATTATGATTCAAATGAATTAAACTTGAAAAAGTAGTGTGACTAAAGTACAGAGACAACCTTTAAGTAATTTCCAAAAACGCTATTGTAAAAATCTCAACCATCTACCTGATTTGAAATAGGATTAAGAAAAAGTGTAGTAGATTCAAAATTAGTAATTAGAGTTAGAAATCAAGTTTAAATGTTTCATAACAAAATGACATCAACTATAATGCAAGAACATTGAGTAGTCTCCATTGTTAAGCCCACAAATGCCCTGGTACGGTCGAGAGTGGGGAGAGTCAACTCTCCCTCAACAAATGCTCACACATGGCCACGTGCAGACAATCACTTCCAAGAAAGTCCTACTCACTCCCTTATCGCACCACGGGTGTTGTTTACGAAATTGAGAAGACGAAAAGCGAATGTCCGACGCTTTAACCGGGTTGGTGGACACAGAGGATTCACCTAAGTGAGTTGCAAAACCTTCATTCCACAATTCTGAAGGAACAAATGGCGTATGAACGAATTATTGGTTACCGGTTACCACGTGACTACATCTAGTTACGTTGCTCCACTGCCTTGTGGACTACACCTTTATGTCGAAGGCTCCGGTTGTGGCTCCATCTGTTTGAATTTGAGCCCCCAGATAGTATCACAGCCCGAATATGTATTCGGTGTCTCCTTATGCCAATATTTATGTGTTCAAATAGAAATAAATAAACAAGTAATTGTGTAGCTACCATATGGATAGATGAATTTTGTGTACAAATTCAATAGGTACAAACTTGGAATTTGATTGATTTGTCCTGATAGTTTTAGTTAACAACAAGATAGTATAGTATATTCTAAAGTTTAAAAGTGTCTTATATATAATGAAACATAATTAGTTGATATTATACATATTAGACTAATGAAGTATTTATTCATTTACACAATTACATATTCAAAATATCATAACAGTAATAAATTAGGAAGACAAATACACTGAAGACAAATACATTGATTCTTATTTAAACATTCCATTTGATATGTTTTTTGTGATCCCCTTATCTGATTCCAATTGGATCCTGTTATGAATGATTGTTGTCGAAATGTATATGCTGACTATTCTCGTATAGAATTGCCGACTTGAATCACGTTAGTGAATAACGGGATTAAATAAATCCAATACGAAGTCAGATCAACTCCGTCTTCTCATTGTTCTATCGAAATATATCTTATTAATACATACATAATTTTTATAAAAAAAACGGGAAAAACGAAAGAAGTATACACTTACCAAAATATGCTTTCATAACAATCAAAGCCATTATATAAATTGCTAAACTGATAACTTCCGCTAAAATCATTAGAAGGTGCCATGTACGTATGGTAATAGCTACCATAAGTAATTCTGTTAATAATAAAGCTGTAAATGTGATAGCTACTACATGAATGAATTCATCTTCGAAAAGTAACAATGCGCCGTACATGATAACACTACCTAAACAAATGAAACAATGAGAATAATTCAGTATGTGGTTATAAAGATTGTTGAGTTTCATTGGAATCATGAACCCGATCTAAGTTAGACCACTATTGAAAACCTGGAGGCACTAGATGATTATTTCGTCCTTGTATAGGACTCCACAAGAGTGGACATTTACAGTTCCGGACCTAGAACTTTCGATCTTTCAGTCGAGATATTTAACAAAGAAATTGTGAATGAGATAATTCAATGATGATTTATGGATAGTTATATCATATGAATCAAGGACTTTTTAATCGGAGTGAAAGGAATCATATCATTTCATGCTTACAGTAAAATCTACGCGCAAATTAAGGATTGGCACTTTCAGTTGGGACAAAAAACATATGTGCCGGGCTCTATGTTCATGATGTCCGTCAGTTTATCATCTAAGTTAAAACATACACTTCAGAGGATTCCTAAGTTACGCTTTTTCTATGATAGGAAGAATAATAAGATTAAAAGTATGATGTTGTTGTTAGAAGAACCTTTTTATTCCTCAACATAATAGATCTCAGATCAGAATGAGGTGAAAGTTTCACAAATAGTCAAACCGCTAAAAACAGGAAACGAAGTAGTGTTAAAATCAATATTGACAACTCTACAGTATAAACTTTCAGAAAAAGTAATGTGACGTTTTCAAAAACCATCCACTTCAGATAGTGTATAAATAATCAAGTTGAAAGATGTTCAAATCAATGAGTATACTCAACAATTGAGAACACAGAAAAATTCTTTTCCCTAAACGTTTAGCAGCCTGCAAAACAAATCATTACTATGAGCACTGACATATTCTCATAAGGAGCATACTATGCTAAAATAAACCAACCTATTCAATTTACTATGAATCATAATAAACTTTACACATCATAATGAATAAACAAGGTGCTGTCAATGTATTCGAATATATATATATACTAACCTTGATAAACACTAATCAACTGCCAGATGAAATATGTTTTAAAAGTTAATTCACGACCTTTCTGTAAAGTTTTATATAATTCAGGGTAAGTTAGAGCAATACGATCCGGTACATCCTTATCAAGCACCAATGAAAATACAGGGAACATAGTGAACACTGTGGCATAACCAACATATAGAAAACTTGGGAATAACGGTATTGCAACAAAATAGAAAACGGCTGAAAATATCGCTTGCATGACTGTGATAATGGAACCTAAAATGAAAAGGAACAATGTTGTAGATGAAACTAGTAAGCTTCAAGATAAAATGAAAATGCTATTCGTTGACAAAATGTAACCATGTCCGAAACACGGTCGTTATTAGGGATGACAGGATTATAGTTAAGCTCTACAGTAAACTGATGAGAGTTGAACATGTGGATTGTTAGATTATAATTCACTGCTGCACATCGCTATCGTAGTGAGATCTGAATGACCCTAGGTTCAGTCCTATGTGAATAATTACGAATAAGCACACACTGTCAGGCAATTCCGAAGTTAAGATCGACACTTCATCAAAATAAGACCGACATATTTATGTCCAGCGCTACCTGATTTTATTTATTCTTCAAATGACGTGGTTCTACAACTTAATATTAAATAACTCATATTACTTAGTCCAATTAAGTAGCACAAGAGATAATTATGAATTTAAAGGGTTGAAATCATGAGTCAGTTGAAGCTAGACCACCATGGAAAACCTGAAAGCACTGGATTTAGCAAGAGTCTGTTTCACGATAAGAGGTGAACCAACTAAATGAGTGTTTTGTTAATGACCCAAACAGACCATTGTTAATTGAGTATAAGCAGTTAGAAAAAAACTACTTGATGACTGTAGGTAATATGAGCTAAAAGATAGAAAACCGTGATAATCAAATCATGATGCACCAAATAAATCCTACGATCTGAATTTATCACAAGTTTGAGTATGAAATGGGTAAACTTAATTCTTGAGGCTATAAACAACACAACTAGAAAGGAAATAAAGCTATTGATTTTGGAAATGACTTTATACGCAACTCCCTAAAACTACGGGTGTGGTTATCAATCCAAATACCAATTGTTTTCATATCTGGATTAATAAAACGTAACTCGTAACACAATCGGTGTGTAGTTAAATAAAGACTTAAGGGGGAAACTCTCTAATGAGCTCGCTTGTCTTGGCTAATATTAATCATCTAGGTATTACTGAAGATGAAATATCCAATATTAAACTATTTAATTTTACTCATTTATTTATCTGAACACATAAACAGTGGTACAAGGGGGCCAGTAATATTGATCATTGATTTGTGTGAGGGCTTTGATACTGCCTGGGTGCCCAAACCGAAACACGTGGTTTTCTTAGGGGGCCACACTCGGAGTCTTCGATCTAAAAGTCTGATCCACAAGGCAGTGGAACAACGTAGGGAGATCCATTCCTATGGTAGCCCGTGACGAATAATTATTTCATACACCATTTGTTCCCTCAGGATCCTGGAGCCCTAGAACACTGAACCGGCACCCAACGGTGTTAATGTCTGACTTCCACCAATCCACGATATTGCTCCACCGTCCACCATTGTCTTCATTGAGTAACTGCCTCACAAGAGACACGGTTGTGTGCCACTGGTCACAGCTTTTCACTAAAACTCCAGGAAATCTATCTTCAGGCCAGTTACTACGGAACACATGATAATAATCAGTATAGGGTTGTAAAGATTGTTGAGTTTAGATTGATAGTATGAATGGATTAATGTTAGACCATTGAAAATCTGGAATCAATGGACGGAGTGAGGGATCGTGGAAGCTCACTACTGAATAGTCCCATACTAGGACGAAACGGTCTTCCAGTGCTACCAAGTTTTCAAAGATGGTCTAACATTGATCCATTCATGATATCAATCCAAACTCAACAATCTTCACAACCCTATACTGATTATTTAAGTTAGACAAACATTGAAAATCTAATTATTACCAATGATTAACAACCCTACAATCAATGATGTTACTACAGGAACACAGTAATAAACATAACCAAAAACATTGTTTGTTTTTAATCTATAATGTGTATTAAATATATTTTTTATTAGATTACATTCATGAAAGAAAAACAAAACATAAACTACCAAACAAATCGATCGTATTTTATTTCTTAAAGCCAAAATGTACTAGAAATATAATTTAGAAAACGATCTAAATTGTTGTTGTAAGTTAATACAGGAAAAAGAAGAAGAAGAAGAAGAAGAAGAAGAAGAAGAAATAAGATGAATGTTGTAGTTGAAAATACTCAATAAAAAAACTGTAAAGCACAATGAATTAGTTATTAAACAGTTTAAAAGGAAAAAAACAGTATTAATTAATTAGAAATCATCGTTATGAAGAATCTGGAACACGTATATCGTTATCTAAATTGGTTCTCATTGCTTATAGTTTGTTAACTTTGTTATGTACTCCAAGTTCATTGAAGTTTGATGGAGTTTTGTTCTCTGAACTGGATGGTTTGGTCGTGGAGCTTTTCATCGTTCTTCTGAACAACATCATCAGCACAAACTTCAGGTAGAAGGGAAGTGTTCGAATTTCTCCACATGTGGTTCACATCTTGTCCTGTAGACCTCAATGTTGATTAGTTGTTGTTGACCATTGGCAGGTTTAAGGTCAACATCCAGTTCAGAGAAAAAAACTCTATCAAAATCATCCACCTGAGCTACAAATGTTCTCCACCATTTCATGTTCATTGAATATTACCATAAAAACAGAGTTATTCACTTTCAAATTTGACTTTTGTAAAGAATATAAAGCGCTCTTGAAAGTCCCGTCTTCTCAATGATTAATGTGTGAATTATTAACATTGAAATATTGTTGTCTGACAAATGTCCGGTCTATTCGACTTTCTATTTGTCGAGTAGTTATATTAAAACATTCTCGAACGTTCATAATTAGAATTTACCATAGATTAATCTGAAACCCTAATGTTTTAATCGTTCCTGTTAAGATGTTAACAAGATACAAAATCATAATAATCATTAACTACTCCCACTACATCATCATTAAATAGACAAAAGCAAAGGTAAAAGTGACACAGAAGTCCCTTGGTTTTAATTCGCCAAGTATATTCAATTGTTAATTTTATAAGTATAACAACAGACAGGCTATAATGCAAACTAAAACAACTCAAAATAATACTCAGTTACTTTGAGCATACAAAAGCCACCTTTCAGTTGAACTATTCTAAGAACTGTTCTACCTCAATAATGCCAATATAAACAATATTCAATGAATCGATAATAGAAGCCCATTGTCTGAGTGCATCCTGTTCAGGTTATTCTATTACAAGAAAACTCCAGTAACTTACTCAATCACAGACAACGTTAATTCACAAACATACAAACTCATTATTATTCAAACATTCTCCTCAGCTAGTTACTATTATATGTATAAGTACATACATATAGGTATAGAATACTTACCTCGATGAATAACAAACAAGGCCAATGCAGCAGTATTTTTATAACAATTCCTTCCATGAACAAGTAGCAATTGTGTAACATGTTTAAATTGTGCTAAACTGAAATCAGATGCTAGACTAGCCTGTCGACCTTCTTTACCTAAAAGACCAAGACCAAGATCAGATGCTTGAATCATGCCAACATCATTGCCTCCATCACCGATAGCTGCTACTCTTGCTTTTGTATGATATCTTAATAAAGTGACAATTTGTGTTTTCTGTGTCGGTGAACAACGGCATACAACTACAGCCGGTGATTGTCTTGCCAATTCAACAAATTCATGTTCATAAAATCTTAAGCATGTCTTATACACAGAAAGAAAAAACACAAAAAAAAACATGATAACTACGGTCAATATCAGTGAATTTATATAATACACATGTGTGTAAATCAAATAGACATATATATCACTAAGAGAAAATACAGTATATGTAAGAGTTATCATTATATTATTAGACAAAAATAGTCACTATGCCTTTTCGACAGTTACAAATAAAACAGGGTTAAATTCATGAATTATCTTCCTTATTATCACAACAACAAAAATGCAATAAATAAAACCCACCGATTATCTAACATTGTTTGCATTAAGTTTAAAAAATTGTGAAATATTCAAGTCTATTGCTTGTATCGTTTTATACAATATTCATAGTAAATCATCATTACTGGAAACTAACTACAAAACCTGAAGAAGTATGTATATTCCTTATAAGTGCCCAACTTGTAAGGGTTGAGAAAAATGTTGATAAACTTCAGACAGAAAGTGATTTACTTTGAAAATAAAGACATACCAACCAACCCCCCATTAGTAAAAGAGACATGTTTTATTACTTATTGATTTATTTATTTGAACACATAAACAATGCACCACACAGTAACAATGAGGCCAGTTAGTAGTTATCATTGATGTGTGTGAGGGCTGTGATATTGACCGAGTGGCCAAACCGAAGCAGCCATTACAGATTTCAGATATCGAATTTCGAATAACAAACTACGGGTTGGAAATTGATTTCGTGTAATTCAATTTGAACAATACAACAATACAATAAATGACTATCATCAGACGCATAACACTAGATGAGGTGTACCATGGTATTCACGTAATCAGTTCAGTTGCTATTATGTAATTTTTGTAGACAAAATGAATACATTAACAAGCATAAAATGACTACTTTTGATTACCAGTCAGGACACAACAAGCAATATTTTATTCACATTTTCCAACTATTTTAAGTATGCCATTAGAGAAACGAAATTTAACTGGGACAACATATAAAATTTTCGTGAGATATGTAATGTGGGTAGTTAGTGGTTAGTCAGAACAAGGATGTCACAATGAATAGCTATCTAGAACTAAGACTGAGATACTTGTGTTCCAGATGTTACCATGGATGTTTATTACTGCTTTCGTTAACTAAAAAACTATGCAATCATGAGGGATAATATACTGATTGTACAAACAAACAATGTGCTCAGTTTATAACAATGACAATAATTTGTGAAAACAATAAATAATATATATGTGAGATAGTGAGAAAACAAATTTACTTACTTCCATTGATGTTCCAGTTATCAATAAGGCATGGTCACAACGTTTACGAAAAGCGTTCAATTCTAAATGAGCTTCCATTCGACCACTAACTGATTTAAATATATACATAGGTGTATCACGACTGACTAAACGAGAAGACTTAGCGATACATGCAGCTGTTTCAAGTTTATCCCCAGTCAACATCCAAACACGTATACCAGCATTTCTTAATGCTTCTAATGCAGGACGAACCTAAATATTTTTTTAGAAAGAAAAACAAAATATACAATCGAATAGAATGGAGACACAACAAAAGTATATTGTGGATGTTTTTATCAGTCAGGTGTAATGTAGAAACTGGCACATATCTGCATTGGTTTAAGTTTCCATATCACATTAGTACACCGAGATAAAAGATTATCAAGGCAAATACCTGAGTAGAAAAAGTACTAACAGTATAAAGTCAAGTGCTACTTGGCACGAAAGTTCACGAAGCATATACAGAAAAGCTTCTTAACAGAATAATCAGAAATAATAACTAGGTTAATCGACTATTCATATACTTAGGCATTATTTGTAACACAACTCTATTGCTTAACTACTAACTTTCCAACACAGGATCTGGGTTTTGAGGCCTGTATCATTACATTTTGAGTTTGAAATATTAGGTAATACCAGTTCAGTAATAATCACGGGGAGAGAGAGTAGAATATGCAGTGGACAGTTTTAATTCAGTCAGATACTTGCATGGACCCTAATGCAGATAAGATTTGTACATCATAAACAACATAGATGAATGCAGCGCAAATACTTATGAGAAGTTGATTATCTAAAAGCAATCCTTGAAGTTACAATGAAATTAATTCCTACATTTCAAAAGAACTGTGATCTATAACAATTCAACCCAGACTATACTTCCATCAAAACATTTATATCTTGAGTTCAAACGTAGAGCAACCGATTAGGTGAGATAAATTTTGCTTCGAATCGAATCGAATCGAGGTGAAAGACAAAAATATTACTAGGATGAAATCGAAAGGAATAAAAATGTATATCGTCGTCTAGTACTAAGAAGGTGAATTTCTAAACAACTAATAGAAATTTCCATTTGAAAGTCCTATACATTGTACAAGAGTGAGCTAAGTTTCCTAGGCACAGTCCATTCACCAACTACCCAGACGCGCGATGTTGGAAAGTGTAGGAGTAGATTGGAAGAAATCTAGGGGTGATCGAACCAAAACACTGTGTACGTCCATGAAAACACTGACTGTAGGTAGGTACAGACTATCTAGTTGTGATCCGCATGATTATCGCAACCAATAGTTAAAGACTTTAAATGGAATGGCTAAAAATCTATCACAATAGTCCAGATGCACCCATCCCAAGTTTCTAAATTTCTCGTAAAATCTCCTTTATTATCTGATTAGTTCATATTTTCTCCTCAAATTGTTTCTTAGATGCCTAGTCTTTTTGACTACGACGAATAACTTACTATTATTATTATTATTATTACTAGTACTACTACTACTACTACAGGATTTTCCCTGACGATTTCATCTCTGTGCCAATAGAGGGTATGGGAACTTGAACTGACGTACACATATACTAGGTTCTGCTTTGTGTATAACTGGCTAACCATATATCTATTCTACTATCATAAAGAACAACATCTGAATAGAAAACAACCTTGTGCACCCATATAACCTTATTATTATGTTTAAGTACTGAAGATGTTGATCTAAAAGTTGTAAATAAAACCCGTGTAGTTTTAACTCCATAGTAATAAAACTTGAAATCAACAGGTCCGGAGTTCACGCTCACTACACTATAGTTTGAAGAATTTTAGTATGTATTATATATACAATGAAATATTTGACATGAACAGTTTACTTCCTATCAACTTACTCCATCTTGAAGTTTATCTTCTACTCCTGTTAAACAGAGAACTTCTAAATTTGTTTCTAAAGTTGCTACAACTGACTGCATTTTTTCGACACGATCAGTTAAAGACATTTTAGCGCTATGGTATCTACATGTGAAAAAAAAGGAAACAAACAATTCAGAAATAAAGTAAAATATAGGGAATGTAAGCTGATATTAAGCAAAACATAGTAATGCAAATTCTTGCATGAACTGATTCATAGTACACACATTTAGATTGTGTACAACGGTGGTTTTGATTGCTGTTATAAGTATGAGGGCGGTTATCACATCACCGTTGCCCACACCGTGGAAGGGTTGTTCTGGAGGTACCTGAAAAGGAAATTGGATTAGAGGTGGTCTTAGTGACCTGAAAGCGCGACCGCAGTGCCCAAGGGACAACTGCCTGAGGTCGGTCACACACAACCATTTTGTGGGTAATTTTCGTGTCAGCTCCGTACATGTTGAGACCTTACCGCCGAAGACAGATATCTGTGGGATAAGGCGAGGTGTGCATTTTTAGGGTCGACCTTTTCTAACCCCACCCCTCCTTGTGAGAAGGTAGCATCGCTGTCATGCTGGTTGTCTGAGGGAAGCACCTTACTGCCGTCACACCTCTGTACAGTCAACAGTACGACTTCGCCTTCGGACCTTAGGTTTGTTGCTTTTAGTCTTACCGCTCTTTAACCGACCTGTCTGGCATGATAAGGTTAGTCTACCTAGGGAAATCGGAAAACCCTAATTATAGACTACCAGTATATCTTAAGATCTTAATATGGTGGTTGCCAGCTGCCAAATACTAAAATGAGCTACTTACAACACTTGCTATCGCACTATTAGTGAATATAAATCGGTAGTGGTTGAATTTACAAGAGCAATAGCAGTACAGATAGATATTATAGTATATAATACCGCATGAAACAAGCACATGAAAATATGTAATTTTAAATATATGTGAAATATAAAATGAAAAACAATGAACACTAGGAATATATATGTGTACCGTTGTGCGAAATCTGAGTATTGTTCTTCAGTTAAAGTACGCGAAGCGACAACCAATGTTCGTAATCCTTCTCTAGCCAAATTACCAGCTTCATCTTCTAACCAATCCACATAGGATACAAGACTACTCATAACAGTATCTGCACCTTTAACATAAAATATTATTCTTTTGGATGAATAATCACGTACAATAATACCCATTCGTTTAGATTCCGATGAAAATGGAAATAAATTCAAGATTTCATACTCAACAAAAGAGTCTGAAGAAAAGAAAACGTAAAACATTTAGGACAATATATTGATAATTAGGTTTAGTAGGTTAATTAAATTATCAATTAGTATGAATATGTCATAAATGTAATAGAAGAGAGAACATACCATTAGGTAGACGTAATCGCATTCTGTGCAAGTCACGAAACACAAGTGTTACACCAACAGTTGCAGTCCATGAAACAAGAGCTACTTCATCAGGTGAACTAGCTTGATAACCAATGGGATCAGATAATTCTACCTAGAAAATTATGAATACACCCAACATATAATGTGTTGTTTATAAAGGGCCAGATAAAAACAATACGCAGTTCTATCTTGGCACATGTTATTGATAGCGGTCATACTGTAGATAAATCGAAATCATTACGAGTGACCTATCGTATAGCTCCATCATTTCCCAACGGAGTTCGTTCCCACCTCCTACATATAGCTGAAGCCATAGGAATTCGTACATATAACTCCAATTAATGCGTACAGAAGAGATTCGTAACCCCCCTACCCCTTCCATGACCAGTTTTAACTTAACTAACGATTTTTTAATTTTTTATTACTATTATTAATTTATTTTATTCTATTTTTGTTATCATTAACCTTGTTTTCACATCTAGTATTTGTTTGTAATTTTCCGCCTCTTTCCGTTTGTATTCTTCACTATCTAATTAGTTACACACTTCTTATTACATAATGATTTTAATGTTTTGTGATGACTATTCCAAGTCTATTTACCCACGTTTGACCTTCTATTTCCAACGTTTAGCTATTGATAAGACTTTTGTCATCATATTTTATTATTTTAAACAGTTGGGATCATGAGTCAATTGAAGCTAGACCACCATGGAAAACCTGGAAGCACTGGACGGCCGTTTCGTCCTGTTGTGGGACTCCTCAGCAGTGCATATTCACGACCCCGCCTAGCGGGATTCGAACCCAGGGCCTGTCAGTCTCGCGCCAGACGCCTAACTAACTAGACCACCGAGCGGGCATCCAACGGTGTTAATGTCTAATTCCAACCAATTCACGAAGTTGCGCCACCGTACATCATTGTCTCCAGTGAGTTTCAACACAACATACATAGCTTATAGCCTATTACTACATAAAGATTTAATTTTCGGGTTGATAAATATACGTTCAATTGATTGTTCTCAATTAATTACAACACGTTGAGATGTAAAATTACTTGAATTTGTATGACATTCACATACATATTTGGCTTTATAATTCCAAGAATTCTATCGTCGTTACAGACAAAAACATCATTATGCTCTACTTTAATACAAAACCAGTTTAAATGTGTTTACCTGAACAAAAAACTTTCAACAACATCCTAAAGAGTTATAAATCGCCGAATCTACAACATGTAAGAAGTTAGGTATAACAACAGAATTAAAAATGGATGCTTTGTTTCAACCAGTTTCAATGCCTTCACTGAAATTGCAATCCAACACCTGTCACTTTGATTGACAGAGGAGTATTCACTTAAAAATATCAATCTATTGATTAACGGATACTAATCAAAATTAGAGTGTACATTTTAAAGTTGACTTCCTTCTGGATTAAACTTACTAACCCCGAAGTATAAGGAATGTTTATGGACTAGAAGATCATATTCTACCTTTTGAATCAATAGGCATGCAGTGTGAGGCTGACTGAGACTCATGTATATCTAACTGAACGAACAGATAGTACAGCGAGATTGATGATTTCACCATAAAATAAAAACAAGATATGACTGCAAGTAATGAATGGAGTCAATATTGTCAAAGACGGATCACTTTAGGTCTTAAAAACGTCCAAGCGCTATTAAAATGTGCAACTAATCTAATCTGTTCCAAGGATCACTCTTCAAATTTCGTGGGGAGAAAAAGAGATCGGTCATTAACAGCACAGTATTTCGGTTCGATCGATAAAATAAAAATGAACGGTTCTGAATTCTATTTAATCGTACATTACTTACCATAGCCATAGCTTCTTTACTCTCTCCACCTGGTACATCAATTGATCCAGGATTTGAATAAGTTTCTGTCATCGGTGTGACATTATGACATATAGCTAAGGCTAATACTGCATCAGCCATACGTTCATTGGTTGTACGACGAATTTGACGAGTTAATTGATCTGATAAATTACCGATTGTGGAACCAGCAGTGAAATGATTACGCAATCCCTGGACAACCTCTTCCATGGAATCTGATGCAAAAGCTACACTGCCTAAATGTAGCTTTTTAAAAACCATTTCATTTTGTGTAAGTGTACCAGTTTTATCTGACATTAAATAACAAATACGACCTAATTCTTCAGGTATATTAGTATTACGAACAAGGCAGTTTGGCAGGGATTTGTCGCGCATTATCATAAAAGAGTATACGATTTTTGCCAAATCCATATTAACACGCAATCTGGAAGAATTAAAGATTTCATAATAACAATAATAATAATAATGAACGATGGATTCTTTACAGTAAAATAAAGCCTCACAAATAAAAATTATACCACCAATGAGTTGTTCTGGAACGTAAACACTGACAAACACTTAGTGTGAAATCACCTAAGAACCATTTTCAATTAAATTTGGGATACACCATCAGTATTAAATGTTGATCCCTACAATGTTCGAATCCACAAACTTTCAGACCTAATGAATAGTAACAGTCAGTAGAGTTAACCTAAGCTAGAATATATATATATATATATATATATATATATATATATATATATATATATATATATATAAATTCACCGCATTGCACGAGCAAGTGGTTATCAGGACTCAGTAGCTAAGTGAATAACGCGATGGCGTTTGAAGTAGAAAGTACTGGGTTCGAGTCCAGGAGTGAACATTAACTCCGGGATAAAGGTACATCCTGATGACGAGTCCCAAGTAGGACGAAACAAGCTCCTGGACACTACTGCTAGCCACCGAACTTATTTATGTAACGTCAGCCGGTTGAAGTTAAATGTTTTCAAACATTCAAAGAAAAAGACCCGCTCGTGAAAAAAGTCCAAAAGAATCGAAATGGTTTCACAGTCGATGTGAGTACGCGATATTTAGAAAAAACAACCTTGATAAATCTAAACTGTCTGGCATTATCAAGCATCACTTCCTTTTACATTACCTTTGATTTCGTTGACCGTCATCGCGCACGAATATATTGTGGACAATCAAGTTTTCTTCGCTTATTACTGTATTAGGGTGATATTGAGATGACTTACCGAGGATCTATGAATATAGTGAGAGCTTCAGAATCTCACTAGACTTCCTTAACAAATAAAGTGACATTGTCGTGCTACCCCCTGACTCGTGAACAACCTATGTCACATTTAACTGGTTGGCTATTAGTTCTTCTGTTGTCTCCAAAGGATTGCTCACATATGGTAGTAACACCATGTAAGTGATTCTGATGTCTGGCAATCTATACTTAAGCAGTATCGATAAGCTGACTAGTCTCATCGCCTCGAAACACAATCTACGAAGAATTACACATGTTTCACGAACATCCACTTGCGTACACCTTAACTTCATGAAAAAAGGGGAGAAGTTATCATAGAATGAAGGATGGTTGTCGGACTAGGACCCGCTGATTCGTTCCTTATTAATGTCCAACTGCAGTCAAAAATATTACACAACTAAGTAGCGTGAGACTTTACCTGATATGGCTCAGAACAGAAGCGAGTAACGATCTCATTGTATATTTCTACTGCATTTATCTTAAAAACAGGATGCATCCTACAACTGAATAGGATCTAATTTGTTTTATGGTTTAATTAGACTGTTCTTTTGAATTAACACCATTTTTCACTCCTATATTTATCGATTACATGATCTTCGCCTCTTCTCTATTTCTTCACAATGTTATCACTCTACCTTTATGTTCCGAGACTGTATTGATGTACAAATTTATCAAACTTTCTATGTCATGAATAAAATTCTATTTATTATTTATTTAAACACATAAACATAGGTACAAGAAGGCACCAGATAGATATGCGCCACATAAATCATTCGATTTGTGTGAGGGCTGGGTGCCCAAACCGAAACAGGTGTTGTTCTTAGAGCCCACACCCAAAGCCTTCGACCTATAGATCTAGTCCATAAGGCAGTGGAGCAACGTCAGGAGATGCAGTCCCACTGTAACCGGTGACCAACAGCTGGTTCATACACCATTTGGTCCCTCAAGATCCTGGAGCCAAACTCTCCTAGGTAGATACTCCATGTCCACCAACCTGGTTAAAGCGCCGGATATTCGCTTCTCGACTTCTTAATTTCGTAAACAACACCCCTGCCACGAGAAGGCGGTGAGAAGGACTTCCCTGACAGTGGTTGTATGCATGTGGCCATGTGAGAGCATTTAGAGAGGGAGAGTTGACTCTCTCCACTCTCGGCCGTACAAAGGCATTCGGGGTAATTATGGAATTCTATAAAATGTATTTTAAAATTAAGAAAACTTGTGCACAAAAAAATAATTCATGCAAGTACAAAATGTTTATCTAAAAGAAAGAAAACACTTACGCCAGAGGAATAATGTAAGAGAATAAAACAACAAAACGCCACCAATACTTATACCAAGATCCACTGAAACCTTTCAGTGCAACCATGATAAGAGCTAGAAGTACTAGGATACAGAATAAGAGTTTTGTGATATTGTTAATCTCTTGATCGATTTTCCCACGTTTTGTGCGTACTCTACTTGAATTCATTACTGCACGTGTTTCTGATCCTGTGTATATGACCAAGCCAATAGCACTTCCAGTAGCTAGTACAGTGTTGGACCAGAGTGTGTGATCAATATTTAATGAAACTTCTGATGCTTCAGAATCTGTTGGTGAAGTAGGATTGACATCTGTACGGACGAACGTTCCTTCGAAATTATGTATACTCTGTCTCGGCGCTTCAGCATAAACTTGAGCCTGAATAGTACACAAGAAATAGAAAAATATGATGAATACAGGACATTGAATATTGGGCAGTAGTACATGAAGTAAGGCTTTCCCCTTATCTATATAATTTGAAAAACAGATTAGTGGAAATTCAAGAAATCAACCCCATAAACAAAGACAAGCTTAACATGTCATTATCTTCTTAAATAAGATAGTTGGTGACAGTTAAATTCTGTCATACACCATCTATCTAAGAATTAAAATTCTACTAGAATGTTAAACGACTTAAAATAGTTTCTATCCCATTATACATAAATAACAAGCTAAAATATTTCTCTATAGTTCCCTTCACTTCAAATTTATCAAATTCTTGATGTTGATTAGCAATTTCTTGAAAACCGGTAACATTCTATTATCGACTAGTCAATATGAATGGTTGTTTTTCATGTAATTAGATTGATGTGACTTTAGAAACAAAAAAATAAAATAAAATGAGAATTCGGTAAAGAGTTAGTAATAAATGTATTGTTTGTTATGTCCCAATGAGTAGAAAAATTGTATTTCTGACGTTTCGTGACTTCATGTAAGCCACTTCTTCAGAGAAATACAATTCTTCTACTCATTGGTACACAACAACAAAAAGTGATGTTCGAGGCTCAGTTGCTATAACCAATCGAATAAATTTTCCTATGGAGGGACCTAGTGGGTGGTCTTGAAGTGTAGTAAAAGAAATAGATATAAGTATTGCCTACTTATTACTTAACCTCTTCTACGAGAACAAGCCATTAAGTGACTATAAAAAAGTTATTCATTCCACAGTGAAGGGTCAGATTTTTGTGAAATGATCGTGCATAAATACAAATGTCAGTCATGTTTCTAATATAACGATGACGTCAAAAGTAAACAATTACACACGAGTCTATAAAAGCAACGAACTAATAAACAGTTTAAATTGGAGTCAACCATGGCAACTTTTGGCTAACAACTGATAGCCAATCTTAAATCAAGACTCTTTAAAATAAAGCGATAATACATCTAATTAAGAGCTGTGCCAGTTAAAACGTCAAGCGAAGTTGGTAGTTTTGTAATCCAGGATCATGAAACAACATATAATAATGAATGAAAATCGTACATATATTTTATTTTCAAGTACCCAACTCATTATTTATCCCATGCAATCTCATGATTAACTAAACTCAACACTCGACAGCATTTGTTCTGGAACTATTACAAATTATCAGTACAAACACAAATACTTCATCATTAATAGCATTATTGTGATTTTTCGTTGAGCATACTGGGATACCGGTTTCAGTTGTCACAGTAAATATATCAATTTAATTAACTAATGAACAAGATTCAAACAATTGATCTGTAGCCTTTGCTACTTATCAAGCTTCACCAACAGCGTGTGAAATAATGATTTATGCACAGTTAGTCAAATAAGGTACACGAAAGAACAACAAGATACAAACTTATAGTTGGTATAAATCAGTAAAAACAAAAGGAAGAACCTCTCTATTTCTCAACAAACAATTTAAAATCATCATCATTAAAGCTGGAATAAATAGGTTAGCTGATAGTGTGTTTAGAATTTATTGGGCAATAAGTATGGAAGTATTATTCTACTATCAGCTTTGTTGTATCAATTATTTAGGTCCTTTTTTCTTCCTAAACTTACGAACACTGTTAATTTCAAATGATAAATTTGAACTAACAGAGAAAAGTCAATACACTTACTTCCATATCCCACAATGAACTTGGATGACCAGTACGGCTGACAAAAGCATGTGTAGTTGGTATAGCATAACGTAATTTCCAGTCAGTCTCACCGTCAAGTTGATCTGTCCGTATAAAACAAGAACCATTTCGATCTGATGTCCATATTAAGATCATATCTGCTGGAACTCGTTGATTCTTCTCTAAACGAATAAGATCACCAACCTATTATAACCGAAAAACGAATACTAACTGTGAAACACTGAATTCAGAGCAAAAGTATTAAATACATTAAACTTAACCAACAGAAAGATACCAGTTTATTTGGTAACAAGCACAAAACAAGTACGTTGTGATATAGAAAAATTGTGAATTAAGATTTTAAAAAATGTTAATTAAAAAAAGAATACAGTTACTTTCACGGTTCTCGACATTCCTAACAATTAATGGTTGTTTAGATAAGGTTTCCGAGGCTATGAAACATAGTGGGCTGTACGAAGTAAAACTATGAATTTGTAAGGAACAGGAGGAAAGGTCATTTGTTCAATAAATAACGAAAATAGAATAGTGTTTATTAGAAACAGTTTGGGTGGAAAAAGTAGATGAAACAAATTTAGATCAGTTACAGGTTGCAATTTATCTTTATAAAGAAGAATGAAGCGTAATAATCCAAAAGTCAGAGTTATCTCCGAACCTTTGCTGAGTTAGGTGGGTCATTGGTCGTCACCTATTGAAGGGCTTAGGATAGTCTTGTTAATTTTTCTGAGGCGGAGTCAGTTGGACTTTTGCCCAACTCACATTAATCTATTTAGGATGACGAACCTGTTGGCCACGAGGACATATGAGTTCAGTGGATACTATGGTACGATTAGAATCCTGAAATGTTTTCCAAAGGGAATAGTAGTCTTCTGCATATTTGTGCAGTCGGTAGACAACTACAACCACTCGAACTACAAGGTCAAAATGTCAGGTAACAAATTGGAGATGATTTTGTCGAAAGTCAGTACTGGTTTTAAAAAATGAGTTGCGATTTAAGCAAAGTTGAAAACAGTTCCTATTATTTAACCTGAGATTAGTAAGTGAAAACTCATGACCCAAAACATCCCCTTCTGAGTTTAAACGTGCATCTAGGCAATTAGATCCTCAGGTTGCAAAGCAACATCTGTCAACTGCGTCTTGTTGAGGATTTCATTTATTTGACAGCAGAATTCATCATTTGCCTCATCTAAGCAGCCCTCTGACGGTGCATAGACAGAGACTAGGAAAAAACAACGTTTTTCAAGCCGGTTTCTTTGGTCTCTGATTGAACTATCTAGCCTAACAACCCAAAAAACAACTGTTAACGTGAATACAACCAAGTGTTCTCTCCATTTTGACAAGGTCGAACACCAGTCACAGGATTTATAAATAAGTACATGGAGAACCTGTTTTTAAATCGATAAATGGAACAGAAATTTACAATGGTTGGTTGGAGCCCAAATTAAAAGTTTCAGAGATAAAGTATACGTCGATAGTGAGACACTACAGAGTTTAAGCAAACGCCCTCTAGTACCCAACCTATATCAACAAGCAAAAAACTAGGGCGAGAAGTTTAAAAGGTACATATCTTTTCACAATACATATATCAGACATCGTAGTCAGTAATAGCTTCCAGACAGCAAACATTCAATGAAATAAAACCGTTTGGGATTGGAACAATTTTCTAAAGAAATTATCTGCTATATTAAAGAGTAGAATTAGTGTAGAAATAAGTAGAACTCAAATGGAAATAAAACGGAGTAGCGAGTAAGTGATGAAAAATAAATGTTGGAATAATAAATTCACTATGACTTTTATCACTAGTGAGTCTTAGTGTGCAACGTGACCACATCATTAGCATCATTGGTAATTATTACCAACTGTGTGAAGGCTTTGATAATAGGTACCTAAACCGACAGAGGTGGTTTCCTTAAAAGTCACAACGCTTCAAACAAGTTTCCGATCTTATGGTATGATGCACAAGATGTCTGGCAATATCAAGAGACGCAATCCCGTGGTGCCCAGTGACTAGAGTAGTTCTGTACAGCATTTATCGTCATATGATCCTTTAGTCTGTGAGGACCATTGGTTCAGAATCAAGATTCTCTAACTTCGTTAGATTGACTCACTGTATCTACTTCTCCAGTGCAGTCTTTGGACGACGGCTCTCACTTTTGTAAAGACAACCCGCTAAGGGAAGACAATGAGTAGGGTCTCTTTAAGAGTCGTTTTGAGTAGTGTGGGTCAACCAAAGTTCCAGTATTACTATGAGTTATATACAGTGACGGATTATGAGAAGTTGGTTTGCAGTGGTCGTACACTTGGGATTACAAGTGTTTTAATTAGCACAACTCAATACACAATTCAATACAATGTTCAAGAAGGCTTACTTTGATATCTGAACTCATAACGGAAACTTCTTTGTTGCGGACATACTTTCCATAGATAGCCATATTGACATCGCGATCACGAGACCATCTTCCAATGTCATCTACCGCTTCTCGAATCATGGTTATTGCAATCACAAAACCAAGTGGCCCCCAATATGTGTACAGACGACCCACACCAAGTTCGGGAATAAATTGACTACATGCAATTACAAGGAAGACGAGATTTAAAAATACACTGAACTGTTCAAAAAGAACCTGAAAAGTACAAACAAATGAAGCACATAGATTCGCTATTAACAATTAGTGAAAACACGAAAACCACAGAAGTAACAGCCTATAAATTTGTAACTATGTTGTACAAATAGTAAACCCATACCAAACAAACTTTCAGATATGAACAAATAAATTTTCAGGATATCCTCAAACAGCAATTCAGTACTATTGGTAGTCACCAACCTGGTGTATATGAAACCTTACAAACATTCTTATTTCCCAATTGGTTCAAAACTGTGTTATGTATCCTTGGTTTCAGGATGATTCCTAATAAGTTTATGTGAATGTGTAAGTCTCCCATCACAACATTAAGCGGTTTAGGACTAAATCTCACAAAAAATATAGTCCGCTGAAACATTGGCTACAGATTAATAACGAGTAAAAACAATTTTAATTAACAATTATTAGGTTCTCCAATTGCTGTACCTACAATCTTTCGGAACGCAGCAACGGAAACAAAGGCTCTTTAAGTAGAGTTAACATGGATTAGTCAAACTATACCCGTGAAATAATTCCCTTAACTACTATTTATCGATTAACTCTTCTAAATCAGAGTAATTTCAAAATATACAGTTAAAGGCATTTATAAACAAATAGAGTATAAAAACACCGTATTAAGAACAACTAGTAGCCAAAAATAAAGAGTACTTTTAAATTTGATTCATAATAGTGCTGATGAGCATAGTCCCTAACATAAAGAGTTCATCATTTGTGTGTGGGCCGTGATACTGCCCGGGTGCCCAAACCGCAGCAGGTGGTTATCTTAGGGGGCCGCTCCCCGAGCCTTTGACCTAAAGGTCTAACCCACAAGGCAGTGGAGCATCGTAAGGAGATGCAATCCCATGGTAGCCGGTGACCAACGATTGGTTCATACGCCATTTGTTCCCGCAGGATACTGGAGCCCATGTGCACCATTGGTTTGCAATCCGGTTAAAGCGCCGGACATTCGCTTTTCGTCCTCTCATTTTCGTAAAAAACACCCCCGCCACGAGAAGGCAATGAGTAGGACTTCCCTGGCAGAGGCTGTTTACGCGCGGCCGTATGAGAGTATTTCGAGAGGGAGAGCGGACTCTCCCCACTCTCGGCTGTACCAGGGCATTCGGGGGCTGGTGACGACTGATCCACCAAACGAGGAGGAAGTCCGCAAGGAACTCCAACTCTTGAAGCGTTACAAATCACCTGGCCCAGATGACTTATCTCCGGCTCTTTTTAAAGATGGTGGTGACTTTTTGACTAAGGAACTGACTGTGTTGTTTACAAAGGTCTGGGAACTAGAAAGTGTGCGAACGTCATGGAATGAGTCGATAGTTGTCCCTATCTTTAAAAAGGGTTCACGTCGTTCCTGTAACAACTATCGGAGGATAAGTCTACTTCCGATTGCGTCCACGCTATTGGCTTCCGTCATACTTCGTAGGTTGTTCAAGACCCGAGAAAGATTGACTCGCGAGGAGCAGGCTGGGTTTCGTTCTGGTAGAGGATGTATTGATCATATCTTCACCCTCCGCCAAATGTTAGAACACCGCCATACTTATCAAAGGCTAACAATCGTAGTGTTTCTTGACATCAGGGCTGCCTTCGATTCGTTGGACAGGACTGTTCTCTGGGATTGTCTATTGAAGAAGGGTGAGCCTGAGAAGTTTATTAACATCCTAAAAGCCCTATATACAAACACCTCAGGCAGAGTGAGGGCATACAACCACCTCTCTCCATTGTTCCATTCGAGCAGTGGGGTTAGACAGGGTTGCCCAATCTCACCATTCCTCTTCAACTTTGCCATCGATGACATTCTAGAAACAGCTCTGATGAATGTAAGTAATGGTGGAGTGGATCTGTTGCCTGGAGAAAGACTTCTCGACCTTGAGTATGCGGACGATATTGTCTTACTGTGCGATAATGCCCAAGGCATGCAATCCGCACTTAATCAGTTGGCAATCAGTGTCCGTAGGTATGGTATGTACTTTGCACTTCGAAGGTGCAAAGCACTTCTACAAGACTGGCAGGATTCCAATCGTGTACTCACCCTGGATGGTGAGCAGATAGAAGTAGTCGAGAAGTTCGTGTATCTGGGTAGCTGCATAAGTGCTGATGGTGGTGTGAGTGATGAGATCAATGCACGTATAGTGAAAGCCAGAGCGGCTCATGCCAATCTGGGCCACCTTTGGCGCCTTCGTGATGTTAGTCTGGCTGTAAAAGGTCGGATCTACAAACGCGTCGGTGAGAGCAGTTTTGCTCTATGCTTGTGAAACCTGGTCTCTCCGAGTTGAGGATGTTAGGCGATTCTCTGTGTTCGATCATAGCTGTTTCCGAAGGATTGCTGACATTCAGTGGCAACACCATGTCAGTAATGCAGAGGTTCGGCATCGTGTGTTCGGGCACAGAAATGATAATTCAATTGGTGTCACCATCTTGAAACACCGACTTCGGTGGCTTGGACATGTTCTACGAATGTCGTCCCAGAGAATTCCACGTCGTGCATTATTTGCCGACTCTGGGACTGGTTGGAAAAAGCGAGGTGGAGAGGTGGTCAGTGCATGACATGGTGTCGTGGTATGAAAGAAAGCTGCAAAGGACTGGCTTCTGTCTGTCCTTCACGACTCCCTGGTTGGGGTCCGAGAGGTGGTGCTACACAGTGGCTAGAGACGTTATCAGATATGGCTCAGAATAGAAGTCAATGGCGATCCTGCTGTAACCTTCTTTTACTTTCTTCATAAAAAGTGGTTATGTCTCCCTTACCTGAAAGATTTCTTCTGATTGTACCTCGTTACTACCACACTACCTTACACCAATCTCTTCGTTATTGTTCTCTTTTTCTTTTGCGCTCCTTAGTTTTTTTTCTATTTCTCTTCGCATTCTCATTGTTTTGTGTGGCGCATATATATTGGCGCTCTCTTGTACCAATATTTATGTGTTCAAATAAATAAATAGTCCCTAACAAAACCAATAGACCGTCACAAATTCTCCTTATCTATACTGTATAGGGATAAACTCATACTCAGCTTTGAGTCAACCTAAGTATGATAGTCACTGATACCCCCGGACTTCCCGAACAGAAGTAACGGTGCATAGTTCGTATCAACAACCCGGCTGACAGTCAGGCGGCTTAATTACTAGGCCACAGCTCAACATACCCATTATCTACAATATAACTTTAATAAGAAAATTACACTTGAAAAACTGTTTATGATATTTCTAAGCTAATGGTGTAAATGAGCTACACTGAAGTATAAATCGATCTAGTTAACTGGTAATTATCAGGATTCAAATTGGAGATGCTCTACCGTTATGCAAGTAGAATTAGTACCAAAGGTTAAATGAGCACTAGTTCAAAATCTAGTCAACTTTAAAACGTAACTGCTACACTCACCAAAGGAATGAAACTTATTACATTATACTTTTGATTATTGATCCGATTCGAAGGAAATTTCTGAGTCTTTGATGGTCTACCAACATTAACTACACGAGCATGGTAAACTTTTGGACCTCGACAATTTCGACAACAACCAATGCAACTGAAATAATATGAAAAGTTACTAAGCAATCGATCGGATGCAGTGTAATAAGATAAAAGAAAGTGATATAAATAATGGTGGAAGCTGTTATAAGACTGATTAACACTAAACGGTGACATATCATATTATATAAATGTGATCAACGTCAATAAATACTATCGCCGAACCTGATGGGTTTTGTACAGATGGGTATAGTTACGAGTAGCTGAGATGCATATCAGTATAGTGACAGTGGCATTTAGAAAGCTGGACAGTAAACACAATAACAAAGCCTGTCAGTCAACCGATTCAAACACAGCCTTTAGTTTAAAAAAAACAGTACCGTGATCTCGTATCGATATGACAATATTCTAAAGCCCATAATGTTAGCATCTGTTATGCGCATCATAATTCAATAGTGTTCCGCCAATCCAATTGTCCCATTCACAGTCCCAGTTAACTGGTATGAGAGCAGGCTACAGCTTCATCTTCTCTAGTAACAGTTTCCTTGCACGAACTACCACCGAAACAAAATTTACACAGTGGGAACAATAGTTATCAACCTACTCAACCTTACTTAATCTTACAAATACATCTAAAATATGGATGGGGCGGCAACGACCACTAGTGCAAGAAAGAATCTGCAGCGGATGCAAACAACTCTTGTTACGAATTGTGGTTTTTGTGTACTTTCCTGAATATTAGTCTTAAGATTGATCCTGAACGCAAGACATTGAAAATTGTTTTAGAACGCATAAATGACAGAGTCGGGCTAGGACCAATAGGATTTATGAGGAAGCTTAAATACAAGCCCTCTACACTAGATTATCTATCGAAATGTTAACAACTAAACAACAAAAACTACATGTCTTACATTTAAAGTATATAGAAACTTGAAGTTTCTTAAAGCTATTCTGCATCAGACAATTGAAAAAAGTACTGCTACCCTCCCTAATAACTTTAACTTCAGGAAGGAATTCCATGCTTCTAAGCTTTGTATTATACAACAAAAAGCCTACATAAATCACGAGCAATTTATAATATGAATCGTTTAAAATGTTCAAGCGAAGTAGCAAGTGAGGGTGGTCATATTATTCATAAGCTAACCTTGAAGAACAGGTAGAACAATTACGGTGCCGCTCGGATTCATTATCTGAATCCAACAAGCTGTCTGATGAACCAGTTGCCATAGTTAACCAAGCACCCAAAACACCCGCGCTTGAGAGGAAATATCCGTCACTATTAAATCAATATACGTACTATATAAGAGTCGAGCAATTATAGACTGTCTAGTTTCGTTATTCTTGCTTTTTATGTGACAGTACAGTTCTGCAACACAGTTTGTTAAAGTAAACTATGATCAGGTAACTTCCCTTTCTATAGCTAGTGGAATGATTCAGTTATGCTTGTCAGTCGGTTATAATTAATATAAAGCCTAATACACACGCGTAACCCGACACTGCCATGCCAGAAGTGGAATAGCCGGGATCAAAATCAAAGGAAATGGTATTGTTTATCAGCGACCATATAAGAATGACTAAATATAGAGACATAAGAACAGTTTTGGACGCCGAGTTAATGTGAGACAATTTAAAGAATAAGAATACATTTTTCAAATCTGAGCGGATATATTTGTAGTAAATCCACCGTTTTACTTGACAATATGATCCAAATTTTCTCAAAGAAATATAATCAAACATCGAAACCATTGAATAGTAAAGAGGTTGTAGCAGTATACAAATCCCTAAAACCAGTTGTTCTGCAGGTCTTCTACATTTGATGCTGACCACATTAGTCTTAATGAACCCGCTTAACTGAAGGCGTTTGGTCATGCATCCGCACCAGATCACGAGCAGGTAAGCTGTGCTTAACTGCTGCAACCGCTAATCAGCTCAGATCAGTCACTTCATGACAAATTAATAGCCTATCAAATATATCTCCGAACCATTTCGCTTCTGACTTATGATTTCACTGGGTTGACAAATTTTGATTATAGGTGTTACTGGTTAAAGTTGTAGTGACTTACTTTTATCACGAGAACACGATTGTTTTAATGAAAACAATTATTATTATTGTGACCAATTGTACCTGTGCTTGTTTTGATGTGCTCTTTGTTTAACTGTGCTAAAAACATCCATTATACTTACTTTGATTGTGACCTCGCGCGAATCCGGTTACGCTCAGTAACCAAGTTTGTATCCTGGCAAGACCTCGGTATTCTTTCAATACCACGAGATCGCCAGCAAATATATCTCGACTTGGTCCATTAACTACCTTCTGATATTTGGATTCCGGGGGATTTTATGGATATCCTGGCACACGTTCCTTTGTAGTGGTGTTCATAGTCTACCGCGACTCGTTCCTACGCTAGAAGGTATCATCAAATTCCAAATACTTGTAGCATCTTTAAGATAAAGCTATCAATAGAGTTTTGTCATAAAACTGATTTCAGTGGCACAAGGATCCCTCAAAAAGGTTTTAATTTTTGCATAGAAAGACTAGCAACCGAAGCTCTACACATGGGCAAATTCGAATAGTAATAATAGGAGAGGTAGAATATAATTAGCTGTCCCGCGGCAAATAATCATTAATATGTAAACCTGAACTCATCCCATTTGATACATCACTTATTATATAAACAACGACAATTACATTCAGCTGTTCTACATGGTTTTTCTATATGGATATGATGGAAAACTAATGAGAACAATAAAATAACACGAATATTCGTTTCTTCGTTTTTATTTTGCTTACCTATCTTCATTTTATGCCTGCTGTGATATGTGATTCATATCGTACAAAAAAATCGTATCGTTGCTTAAAGATACACCGATCAGAGGCGATACGTGGTCAATCAAATTTCTTCTCACACCTCAAATCCACTTAGGAATACACACAGTCTGTTATCTTTACATACTTTTCGTTTAACACCATATGTGTCATGCACACTAAGGCAAATACCGACTTTAAATATTATTAACGTGATTCGATGACCTATTAAGTATACAGTTAACCGAACAACCATGTACCTATTTATATTCAATAATTTTGATGTCTGACTATATTTCCTTGAAATAGCTTGAACCAGATTGTAGTGAGATTTACTTTAAATTCATTCGCTGAGATGTTACATGTGCATTCTCCCTCCCTAAATATAGATGTTTTCGAAAGGATAGAATACGTATATCTGTAAATAAATCCCCAGAACAAATAGTTCTGCAAGTCTCCGAGACCGACCTTGACCTTATATGTTCTACTGGACACACTATATGTGAAAATGATGTTTCACACATCTGCACTAGATAACCATTAGGTATGTCGTGTGATGCATCCCTCGCGACAACTAGTCAGCTTAGATCACACACTTCCTGACATGTCGTCTAGCTTCTAAATACTGCTTCGAAGTTTTGAGGATAGTTAACATAGACTTATTTGATAATTAAGTATTTTTATCACTCGCATTTTTGCTGGAGTCTTTGTATTGGCTGACACTGTCAAGCCCACATAGGTTATTCTAGCTTCTGGTCAGACCATTTTGTTTATTCTTCTCAAACCACATTTTGACCTCATTAGTTATTCGCTTATCAGCCCTGGCCGTTTTTATACGATCATATGTGTGCTAATTACCCACTCTATTTATCGTGTCTGTAACTTACTTTTGTCTAAATATAAATACTGAGTCACATTTCATTAAATGAAGTTGGCTCAATCGCATTCTTTACTGAGCGTCGTTTCACTTCATTCTTCTCTCTCCGCCTTATTCTCTTCGTTTCCCTGATCGTTTGTTTGGATAAACGATTTTAGGAAATATACGTATTCGAAACCCATTCTTGTATTTAACTTATTCATTTCCATTATTCACCAACGCAATCTGAGTCGATGATTATATAGCGGTGATGTACATTTCGATGACAGTCGTAATACGATTTAATCAAAACTAGAGGAAGGGCCACACACTAAAAGTTGAGAGCCCATCGATAGCATCATCGTCCGACTTCATAGACGTCAGAATGAAGGGCCACTTATTCATGACTTCTGGTTTGACAGGCTTTGTGACTGTCGGTTCTAATGGTGTTATGGACCACTACTTTGTCAAGCCCCGAATGTCCGTGATGTCTTTGCACGTTGGTATGAAGTAATGCTGAGATATAAGATGCAAAGCGAAATGAAGAGTGAATTCATATGAGCACTTGCAAATGGAGTGGGTTTAAGTCATCCCAAACCTCTAGCTTTTCGACTATTAGTCTAGTCAGGTGGCTCGGTTCAGATGTTGGTAACTCCATGAACTGTTGCTATAATAAAGTATGTCAATTGGCAATCAGTGTCCGTAGATATGGTATGTGCTTTGCACCTTCGAAGTGCAAAGCACTTCTACAAGACTGGCAGGATTCCAATCCTGTACTCACCCTGGATGGTGAGCAGATAGAAGTAGTCGAGAAGTTCGTGTATCTGGGTAGCTGCATAAGTGCTGATGGTGGTGTGAGTGATGAGATCAATGCACGTATAGTGAAAGCCAGAGCGGCTCATGCCAATCTGGGCCACCTTTGGCGCCTTCGTGATGTTAGTCTGGCTGTAAAAGGTCGGATCTACAAACGCGTCGGTGAGAGCAGTTTTGCTCTATGCTTGTGAAACCTGGTCTCTCCGAGTTGAGGATGTTAGGCGATTCTCTGTGTTCGATCATAGCTGTTTCCGAAGGATTGCTGACATTCAGTGGCAACACCATGTCAGTAATGCAGAGGTTCGGCATCGTGTGTTCGGGCACAGAAATGATAATTCAATTGGTGTCACCATCTTGAAACACCGACTTCGGTGGCTTGGACATGTTCTACGAATGTCGTCCCAGAGAATTCCACGTCGTGCATTATTTGCCGACTCTGGGACTGGTTGGAAAAAGCGAGGTGGAGAGGTGGTCAGTGCATGACATGGTGTCGTGGTATGAAAGAAAGCTGCAAAGGACTGGCTTCTGTCTGTCCTTCACGACTCCCTGGTTGGGGTCCGAGAGGTGGTGCTACACAGTGGCTAGAGACGTTATCAGATATGGCTCAGAATAGAAGTCAATGGCGATCCTGCTGTAACCTTCCTTTACTATCTCCATACAAAGTGGTTGTTTCTTCTTTAACTGAAAGAATCCTTGTGGTTGTACCTTTCCGTTTTCCTGAATATTACGCTACCATACACTAATCAGTGGTCGTTATTGTTTTTATTCTTATACGCAACTTGCCTTCTTTTTCTATTCCTATCCTCCCTGTTTTGTGTGGCATATATATATCTGATGCCTATTTGTACCAACATTTGTGTTTAAATAAATAGATGATTACCACACAATTGCTATCAAATTATAGGTGTCAACTCTGAGATTTGGCTTGATAGTTTCAATTAAATTGGGGATTGTGTAGAAAGTTAATCATGAATACATTTTTGTTATATACCAATCAGCATAAAAACTGTATTCCTGAAGTTTTGTGACTAAAGGTAGACCGTTTATTCAAAGTAAATAAATAACCTAAGTGAATAGTGCTCTTTACCTTCTTTAAAACCGGAAAAAATTAGGAATAAAATTATTAGATGGTCAAATATTAGTAAAATATGTGTTCTAATCACTCCGGACTTCATAGATCCACTACCTCACCAACTGATTTGCTACATCTGATCATTATTATGATCCTCGCTTCAACACGTTTTTACTCTGCTTCAAAACATACAAACAGTGTTCTGAAGACACTTTTGGTCTAAACGCGATGGAAAATACACGACTTTTACATTTATTGACGATGTTTTGTGACTAAGAACCGTTTCACAGGAAACAGCAGTGCATTTTACTCCCTCGTTAGGTAGTGGTTGAAGATCCCGCTTATTTCTCAGCTGATGCAGGTAAGAGCAACCAATCGAGTGTGTTGAGTAGATAAAAATTTAATCGAATGTGTGATCTAGACAGCCCTGAAAAAAATTCGGATGTAAGCATGCGTCACTAACTTTCTATAGAGGTCGAACTTTAGCTATGTCTTCAGCACAGTTAAGACTGGCGTCCTGAGTTACTAACAAAAATCAAACATGTACCATCTAGGCTCTAGAAAATCAGTAATCGAAGAATGTTGAGATAGTTAATCTAGTTTCTAGGGTGCAAGAGTTGATGACAGAGTATTCCTGAAAGAGGGATTCACGGTCACTATCAGTGTTTAAATGAAGAAAATGATGCCATACAGATAGGCTGGGTAAAGTCTCAGCCCAATTTCATCAATAAATCAATATTAATTTGCCTTTATTTTCCTTGGATAGTGTCACTATACAACTTAACGTTCATCAGTCGGTCTCCTACAGTAGGGTTAATATAAGCCCTCAAGACATTTTTTCAGGGGCCTAGTGATATTTCACAAACCTTGCAGTATCTCATATACACACTCTGCAAAGTCAAACCACTTAAGACTTCTGCAAATTTTCCGAAAAATACATAACTAGTAACACTTTCTAGTCATCAACCTAAGTGAAAGCCGGGAAATGCAAATTTCTTGGAAGGGATTGTCAACTACATATAAAAGAAGATGCCCTAACAAGGTTTCGTCCCAACCGATGCTTCTTA